AATTGTTTAATTTTGTTTTAATAAAAAATAATCATATCAATTTGACTTAACCTGACATTTACTAGTTTAACAAAACATATTTTTTGCTATATTTGTTCATTTATTTTGCCTTTAACTAAGCGGGATCACTCCTGCCAGCAGATTGAAACGGATGACTTGCAGGTCGCGCCTGGCACCGCGAGATGGCGCGCAGTGACTGCGATTCAGGCGTAATGACGTCAAATACACGTTCGAAAAAGAAGCGCGAGCAAACGAAATGAGCCGAGACATACAGGAGATTGTTTTGCTACATCTTCTGAGTTGATTCAGGTTATATTATTTATCTCTGTCTCTGTTAAAATGTCTCTGTTAAAACCGTTCAGTAAACTTCCTGATCTGAATACGGCCAACATCCTGGTGAGCTTGTTTTTTTTTTTTATGCATGTAGCGCCGTAAAGCAGGACTGTGTGGACGTTAATCTATTTAACTTGTTCTTAGTTTTGACATATTCTGGTGCTTTCACAAATCCAAACCGTATTTGGGTTCATACACACCTCAGTCTGATAAAATTAATGTTCCCAGTATAAATATAATCGCTTCATAATGCCGATGCTTTGTTTTACCAACTAGTATCCAAACTGTTTCATTTGAACTTAATCGAAAAACTTGGAATATTACTAGTTTATAGGTAAAACCTGAAAAACTGGTGGGGAAGCAGGAATCAAACTACAATTTTCTGATTGACCGACTCCTTAACCTCAAATTAAATGCATTTAGGAAATAGGTTTTTTAAAAGTAATATTAACATTACTAAATAAACCACTCTTTTGTATGAAGAGGGGTGCTGTGCTCAAGGAAACAAATCAAAAATTGAATATACATTCACTCAAAACAGTTAATTTTGAGGAGTTTTGGCCTCTCAAATGGTTTGATTCTAAATAATGAATTTAATAACCAGCTTTAATGTTTTAATCTTGACTCAAAGCGATTTTCCCGCAGCTGGTGGAGAATGAGGAGCAGTTTCAACAGAATTTGGCAAATACCCTGGTGGAGGAGACGGCTGTAACTGTGACTGTGTGAGTGACCCCTCTCCTCACCCTGCTAACGCTGCAGCTCAGCTGTCTCATACGGGCTAGTTCAGGAAGCGTAGCATTGTTGTGTTCATGTCAGTTTCATTGCAAAGTATTCCTATTGCGCTTACAACCAGTTTAAAATCAGCTACTATGATCTTCTTCAACATCTCTGTGGCTGATTACATGACCCCCCTCCCTGCAGGAGACTTGCCAAGAGTCTCCCGCTTCCCATGGAGAACGATGAGAGTCGACCGAGGATCGACCTTGTGGTGTTCATCATTAATCTGACCTCGGACAAGAGGTAATCTTTAATCTCCATCTCTTGGGGGGAAAAAAAATAGGTGATCCATTCAAATCCAGCGATTTTGTTTTCTGTTATTCTAAGTTTATTCCTTGGTTTGACCTCTGTCTGAAGGGTCTCGGCATGAAAAACGGATCCAAATTGTATAATTATAGAGAAATATAGATGAGTCAAATCCGTATATTATAATTTGTTCTGAACTTTCTGGACACCAAATTCATATGAAATCAGAAAATGTTCTCCTGTTGGGCAGACAAGAAGGCTTCTGTATTCGGACTCCATGTAGTATTTCATATCACTCTGTGCCAGAGTACATGCTCAAACAAATAATCCTGTTCTGTGTTTCGTTATTGTTTTGTCATAGTTTTGAGTCAGCAAAAGCTTCTCTGAAATATTTGGATCCTGGATATTTCCTTGGGAAAGTCTGCTTCATGGCTACTAATGGTATGATAAATCCTCTCTTGAGTCACACAAGTGTACCACAAGTTAGGAAGAGTACTAATAAACCATTGTACAGTAGCTTTCAAAATAGAGGCTTCTGGAAAAAATGGGGGGAAAAAACACCTTTTCTCTGTGAGTGGCTGATCTTTTTACTATTGTCTGCCCAGCTCGCCATGCCTCAGTCCGCACAGGGTGCCTGGATGCTCTCAGACAGCTGGCCGTCTCGCTCCACTGCCCTCTGTTGTTTGCTGAGGATCAGGTTTGTGCTACAATTAGTGAGCATATTTTCCTTCTGAAGTTTAATCTACTAGCCAGAAAAAAGGTTAGAATGAAAGAACAAAGAAAATATTTAATAATAGCATTATGTGGAGGTCATAATAGTTTCTTTTTTTTTTTTTAATCATGCTTTAATGACAGAGTTTAGTGCCTGTTTGGCGGAGTCATGCCAGTTTTATATCGGGTTTGTTGGATTGAAATGCGTGTCTTCTCGACCACATTGAGTTCAAAGAAAAAGAAAATATTGTATATTCATAAGAAAAACTAAAACTGTGCTGCCTTTCACTGTAAGGCATTAACTTTTCATAGTGTTTTTTTTTTTTTTTTAGTTTTTCTACTTTTTACTAGATTTTTTTAAGTGACAAAATAATCATATCACTGAATCTCTGAAAAAAGCCAACCTTTCATTTCAGCTCAATTATTGAATAAAGAGGAAAAAATGCCATGTTTTAAGAAAGATTTCAAAACATGTCCCAGTTGTTCCCCCCTGCTGTGATGACCTTCAGAATTCCTAAGCAGTCTTCAAAAGTTCAAATTCAATCAATCAATCAAATTTTATTTGTATAGCACATTTCAGCAGCAAGGCATTTCAAGGTGCTTTACATAATTAAAAAAGAAAACAAAAACAGCATGTGACATTGAATAAACAGTAAGAAAGAGAAAGAGATTTTGGAATTGTTACGGAATTTAAGCGCCTGTCGTCGCTGGACTCCGCCGTCCGTTTAACACGGGTATTATCCAGGCCCCGTCGCCTAACAGGACAAGGCCTCCAACCTTGCGGCACCAGGCTGCAAGTTGGGGAATTTGCTTTCATCATATTCCAGTTCTGGATCAGTTTGGGAAAAACAAGTACAGGTTACGTTGCTTTTAGAGAAATATTTTTTTTTCCTCATTCTTCCAATAAAAGTTTAATAATTCATATGAAATGCAGTGAGTTTACATTCTTTAACAAATCAAGATGTTACCGACAGATCACCCAGAATCCTCTCTCAGATCACAGGTTTTCCGTAGAGTTCATGACATCCATAGAGAGGTTTTTTTTGTTTTGTTTTTTTTAACCATTTCTGTGTTGATTTCACTATATTACTGCAATAAACGATAAATTAAGGGCTTTATCTCACCTACGACTTATTTGTTTTTTTCCCAGTTAGTTACATGTCACTCAGTTCTTCATTTTTCTTCCTCCTCAGACTCCTGTAGGAGCAGCGAGTTCAGCGCGAAGGCTGCTCACTATCCTCAAAGTGGCGTCCGGTCTCGTTCCGAACACCACCGCTCTGTACCTGTCCAACCTGACCAGGTGCACCATGCCGCCGGACATCGACCAGCCAAGTTTCGATTAGCTCCCCTCTGTCATTTGATTGAAGCAAAATCTTTCCTGCGGTCTTTGTTTGTATTTATTTGTAGTGCTTTATTTCATTTGTTTTCATCTGTGTGTGTCTGTTGATGTATTGAGTTTTAAAGACGGTAGACCATAGTTTGTTTGTTTTTTCCAATATGCTGTACATTTATGTAATCAGGATTTTTAACTTTGAATTCTGTTTGTCAAATAAAAATGTAATCTTAGCTCATAGAGACAAGTCTTGTGTCGTCTTAAGTAGACACCGGACACAAGCTCATTTCTGTGATATCTAAGGAGGTCAGATAGGGGAAAAGGTGTGTCACCCGGAGCGTGTCCAGAGACACCGTCCCTAGAGTCACGTCTGCATGCAAACACTAACACGCAAGCTATTAATAGTTATCATTTTGGCAATTTTCCACCATGCAGGATGTTAAACGCATGACCTCCGACTGAAGACCACAATGAGTCGGTGAGACAATGGAATATCTGCGAAAACAATGGTAGCTTTGTGTCTTCTTGCTTCTCAAAGCTGTTTTCTCTCCATGCTGTGCAGCTCCAAGACCTATTTAGACACATCCCAGAAATGATCTGAGCACGAAATGTCCATCTGCGCATTGTCTGCACTTTACCCTGTCAGCTCTGTAGTACAAAGAGCAGCTGATGACCTTTTGAGTCCGTGTATGACTTCATCTCTGGCAAGAAATCTGGAATAACGCATCAAGAGGATGTTCATTCAGCTGTTTCAGAAAGATGCTCTGAAATAAGAGTTTGCAGAATAAAAATACACGCTGAAGTCAAAGCTGTTGTCACTTTCTTCTTAATTTCTTATTAAATTATTGATTCAGTTGATCTGTAGGTGATGGAAAACAGGATAATTCTTAGACTGTATTGCATGAACAAACCTGTAGTACTTTGGATAAATGGAAGACAGTAAACACATCCAGCATCACTTTAGTCCCAGTTCAATGTTGTCTGCTGTAATTTCTCCTGTAGGTCCTTAAAACATTCTGCTTTGTATGCCTTTCTCTCTTCTGACCAGGTTTTTGATGGAAGAAAATCTGGTCTTAATGAAAAGTATGTGCAAGAACCGCTTAAAGATTATTTTCAAAAGGTACTTGTCATCTGACAAACTTCATCAAACACATTTTCTAATATCTTGAATGTGACCTTACTGTCAGAAAGGAAAGTCAGAAACAGGCTTTTGTATTCTTCTCCCTGTGTGTCTTTCCTCCTCACATATTCCATGTTTTGTGGCTTAAGCTGTTCTTTTCCACATAGTCCCTCGTCATACTGAAGGAAAGTTAAAATCCCTTCATGAGCAACCTGGCTTTGCATAAAAACCGTGTCCTCTAAAATTCGTACTGGTCTCTTGTGTTTTTCTAATTTTCAGTAGATAACAATTGTATGCTTTTACTATCAGTAAGGCATAAACATCAATATTAAAAAAAAGAACTTTAAATATATCACTGATATATGTATTTTTCACTTTGCGAACTGAATTGCTGAAATTATTCAACTTTCTTACGCTATTCTTATTTTGTGAGATGCTCATGAGGAGTGACATGAAGCTGACAAACTTTTTTTTTTTTTCATAAAGTGAAAATGGGTTTGTGGGATGTGCAGTTATTTTATTTTATTTTTTTAAAGTTATTTGCTTTGAGTTCATATACATTTGATCACTCTCCACTTAGAACTAAAGTGACTGCCAACTGTCAAAGAAAAGACATGCTAGAAATCTTGCAAAGTATACAATTTGTTTCCCTGCCAAAACGTTGGGCCGTGGCCATGTGAATGTCCACAGAGTCCAAATTAACTTGAGTACGCAGATGGAGCCATCAAGTCATTTTGAGATATCAGACAATTTCCTGTCTCTGCTGTTGTTGTTTGATATGGCCAAGAATGTTTATTGCTGTTGAATATTTTTGCAGGCATTTCATTACACGCACTACTGTTATACAGAGTGGGCTTTGTTGAACGCAATATTTGTACATAAAAATATCAAAGCCCAAGGAAAAAAATGGAGGAAAATTGTAGCGTCTAGTTGTGCAAGTATGACTGAGACCCATCTACACAGACTCAGTGTTGTGATAGCAGCATAAAGTTCATCTACTAAATAATAACTTGAAGGGGGTGAATATTTATGCAGTCATTTATTTTATACCCCATTTTTATTTAATTAGTTTTCACTCTGACATTGAAGTTTTTTGTAAATTGATTTTTCAAAAAAAAAAAAAATAAATAAATAAATGTTGTTGATCTTGATTGATTTGTAAAAGCAATAAAAAGCGTAGAACATCCAAAGGGGTGCATGTGGCGTTAACCATTCAAAAATGTAATCAGAACATTAAACTCAGAGAGGCATTTCTAACAAAGAGAGGTATTGCTTTGCAAAATTTTAGATATACAGCTTCAATCTTCTCTTTAGCCTCCCAGACTCCCACCAAGCTCTCAGATGAATAAAGAAAATCTTCTAATCAGCACTTAAGAGTGATTGCAATAATTTCCGGGAATGCTGATTTCTTTAATTGCATGTAGTAACTGTGTGTGTAACCCTCCTTCCCCTTGAAAAAAAAAAAAAAGCTCTTCCAACTCTGAAAAAAAAAAAAAAACTAAGAAAATCTCGTGACACATTTCTCAAGGATACACCTGATTGCCTCTCATTCCATCGGTAGATTCGCGGATCGTGTAATGCGGGTCCACCGATCCGCTGAAAAGCTTTGACCTCAGCTGAGCTGTCAGCCGTTTGAACTTCAGAAGACAAGGTTGAGGAGAAGTGGAGGCAGAGGTGTGTCTCCCTAGAGGGATTGTGCTTTGTGTCACGTCTGCAATGTGTGCACAAACACACACACATTCACACGTGCACTATTAAGAGGTTATCATCAAGGCAATTATCCGCCAGACAAGTTAACCAAACAGTGTTTTGGCACCGAGTGAGGACCGGGAAGGACAACAGGATGTCAGTGGGATGGAGGAATGTCCATGATAGCACTGATAGCCTCGAATCTCTTGGCCCCTTCACGCACGTCTTTGCTAAAACGGACAGAGGCACTTGACCATTCAAGCTGAAAGAGAAGGCCATGACTTTCCACTCATGGAGACACACACCGTCGTGACTGTATTGAAATGTGATAAAGGTGTTTCATTTAAAGAGGTCCAAGGACAAAACAAGAAAAGCTAGGTTTGAGTAGCTCTGTGCTTGAGTAGTTTTGTATTTGACTGCGTGACACGCTACTATCAGTTTTAATTCAAGTTCTCTGACACTGCTGCATGTTTTTTATGCTAACACTATATTCAGATTTTGAATTATAAGAATTCTCAGCATTTTTTTTCTTAAATCATACCATGCAACTTTTTAAAGATAAAAATAATTTAAAGATATTTTTAAGTTAGTCTGCAGACAGGTGAAGAATAGTGGAAGGCTACCACAACTTTAGCATATTTTAACAATTCAAAACAACATAAATGCAGAAAATGGATTAGAGGATTTTCTTGCATATAGTATACCTATAATTATAGCTAATATTAATTTTCACAAAAAATCTTTGTTTTGATTAACAGAAATGTGTCTCACAGTTTTCTTAAAATGCGAAAGTAATGTTAGCAGAGTTTGACGCTTGCATCACCTCAACAACTTATTCTGATTCTGGCGGGATAAATAACAACTTAGGAGTTCTGAGAAGCGCACCACCTCTTCTGGTAAACTTACAAAGGACGGAGAAGCCGCCACTTCTCATGCGAACCGATGTAGCATGTAGCTAGCATGCCGTGTGTCTGAAAAGGCAAGCATAAGCATAGCAACAGTCTTCTGTGACATTTAATATAAGCTAATTTAGTGTTCTATTCCTTGTATGCGTATGAACATCTTTTGTGTGAGCTGTTTTAAATATCTAAAATCAGCCAAAACAGTTTTCATTTAGCAAAGATCCAGATTATTAAAGCTGATAGCTAGTCCAAAGGGGCTAAAACAGAAGCAGATATCTTCAATCCTTAAGCAACTCCATACTCCACAATGCAACAGAGGCCAAAGTGAACACTTTTTTTTTTATGAACTTTTAAACCATTGTCACATCTGGCGAAGTAGCCAATTTATTATTTACAGAAAAAAAGTGAAGACTGGAGATCAGCACCCTTAATGATTAATGATCATCAAGAATCAAACACATACTGACCGCAGTCAGCAAAACTATTTAATTGGTCTGCAATTCTATGAAATAGCATTCACTTCCACCACTATTATTATTTTTTTTTAGTTTTATCTTGCTTTACTTTTCTATCAGAGTTACTTTGTGTCGAAATGTTTTACACGTTCTGTTCTCAACAGTGTTTCACACAGGAAGATCGTTACTGGAGCTCCCCTTCAGGATAAACAATACAAACACACAGAAAGGTCACCAAAAGAAATCTGCAGTAAGAAGAAGCAGATCATTCTTTATTGGTAAAATGAGATTTACAGTACATTAAAACCATTTTCAAGAATTTAGATGTACATTAAGCGAATAAGCAGTCAGTTACAACGAAAGCAAGTCTCTTGGGCTTATTAAAAAATCTTTTAAGGATAAGGTTAATATTATCAGCAGTCTTACTAATCATTGAATGTCAAGATGTGAAAGTGCTTGCAAGTGGAAGATTTTCTGATTGCTGTAATCCAAGACGGTCCAGTGTGACCACATTGTTCAACCAGAAAAGCCCAGCTCCTTGTAGGTGGTGTCGATGTCAGCGATGACAACGGCCATCACGTTCCTCAGGGCCTGCTTGCCGGCAGCGTCCAAGCCGGCCCTCTCCCCCATGATTTCAGCGATCACCTCAGTAATCAGCTGAACGGAAGGAAAACATTGAGAAAGTCAGGGAAACCACTCTCAGAGAAGCGTTTTAAAGGGGAAGCGTTGTTACGAAGGCAGCATCACCTTGAAGTTATTGATTGGGATCTTGTGTTTGGTGGCGTGAGTGGTGGCCAGGGGTTTGAGGATGGCGGCGTGGTTGCCTTTGGCCTTTAGGAGCTCACCAAGCTTCTTCAGCACAGTGGCGCCGTGGGCAGAAACAGCCGCGTTGCTGGCCAGGTCTCCCTTGGCAATGCCAGCAAACTTCGGGAACAGCTTCTGGGTTTCCGGGTGCTCATGGAATAAGCTGCGGGGAAACGAAAGAAGAATCAAAGGATGATGAGTTATTGCACCAAAAACATTAACATTACATCTTTTTCCCCAGTGACAAACTATTTAGATGAACAACTTAGATTTTCACGAGAAGGGATGGGCTGGTTACCAGTATCATCAGTACTGTTTTAAAAGAAATGTAGGAATTCAAATCTGCATACAGTTTTTTTAATCCCAGAAATTCCTCTTAATAAGGCACTAGGGGAAATATCTGAGCGACTGGAGTTTTCTCAGACTGTGTGGAACTTTGGGTAACTCGGTGCTGCACATTGCTGGCCAGCTTACTGAAACTGGATAACTAACATTTTAACATGCATGCAACAAAGCAAACAATCAGCAGCATGACTGTTAGACATGAATGATAGCCTGACCAGCTAACATCAGCTTGCTTGACAGAACAGAATACAAAATAATATTCTGAAATAACCAATTAAAACCAATATTAAATTTGATGTCTGATTTGCATTTTTATCAATCATAACAATGAACAACCATCAACCAACCGTCTTCATTCACATTAGAGGACGTGTTGCTATTGAAACACTAATTATTGCTGTGAAAACAATCTGTCACGCAAGGATGGAAGCAGTCTTATCTTTCCAGAGCCACTGACCGGGTCAGAACCAGATTCCCATGGGTGTTGTAATCCGCTTCCACCGGGCCCCAGTGCTTCAGAACCATATCAAAATCCGCCATGATCTGGGAAGACAAAAGTCTGACAAGAAACAGACGTATAAAATAGCTTATTTAAAAAAAACCCCACTTAGTTAGGAATTAAGGCTCTTCTTTCTAAAAAGGAGAGGCGGCAGAAAAAAACCCTCCAGTTTTAGGAGGATTGTAAAAGCTCCACAAATAGTGTTATCTTGTTGTGTGGCATTGCATTTCTCCTGTTTAGTTTGGTGGCCTCGGGCCAAAACCCACTCCATTCAAGGGCATCTCATTGCCAGAAAGACTTGAATCTATTAGTGACTGTGTTATAAAGCCTCAGTGCAGTTTTATATAGTTTAAATTGATATTAGATGCACAGTAGATGCATCTAATGTCATCAAAGATTATTGTAGCTATAAGATGCATGCATGCATTTTTCTTTTAATTGTTGATATTTTTCTCTTTAAAAGCCAAGGTTCTCCAAAACCTGCTTGTGCTCGTCAAATCTTCGTGAAAAATGATCTAAAGACATCTTTTTGTGGAAGAATGCCACCAGAACAATTTCTATGCATTTTGAACACATCTGTTATAAGCCAGGACCAATTATCTCAGTTGAATGTTTTTAAGTTTTTGCAAAGAAACTGTTCCTCAGTCTATTGATTTAGATTTAAATTACATTAAACTTTTGACATTAATTTAAATGTCCCAGTTTTTGCCAGAGATTCTGATGCAAAATCAATAGCAAAGGTATTTACTGACCTGCAAGCTCAAAAATGATCCTGTGTGGTTATCCAAGTTTCTCCTTGGCCTGACTCTCCCCCTCAAACTGTCCTTTTATACTCCCTCCCTCTGTCATGCCACCCAATTTTTTTCCAGCACTCCTCTCAGTCTACCGCTCTTCCTGCACGTCTCTTAAAAACACTCTCAGCACCACTGACCTCTGATGCCCAACAAACATCAGCTCAGTGATCATCATGCGATAACTTTTCTGCTGGCCCTCCTCAGTGAGATGCTTGTCTCCATGATTTTTGACTATTGATACAGAACAGAGAAAAATCCTCTTACTTCCTACACAATAAGAGTGCAGGTGAAGGCGTCGCATGTCAAATATGGCCAAAAATCTTCAATCAACAACTGTTTGACGGCCGTAGAGGATCTGTGCGTTTGCTTCGGTGCGCCTTGAACTTTTACCACATTTTTTTAGGTTACAACCACAAACTTCGGTGAATTTCGTTTGGGTTTTATTCGTGCATAAAGTGGAAGGAAAATCCAAATCTTTTGGGTTTTGTCTCGTTTCACATCGAGAAATTGAAATTTCCCGCCCATTCTTCTTTGCAAAATAGTTGAAGTTCGGTCAGACTGGATGAAGAGCATCTGTGAACAGCAGTTTTCGAGTTTTGCCACAGATTAACTGTTGGACTTATTATATTGTTGGACCCCAGCGCCACCTTTCAATGCAAACTCTTTTACTGTAGCTCTGCTTGGAGGTTTAGTGTCGTCGTCCTCAATCTCAAGTCTTTTACAGCCTCCATAACGTTTTCTTGTTGGAGGCTCTATCCATTTTCTCAGAAACTCTGACCGGCTTCATTGTCCTTGCTGAAGAAAACAACTCCAGACCATTATTCTGCCACCACAATTTTTTTTTACCAAAGGTTTTCTGTCAAACATGTTTTGCAAGTAGACCAAAGTTCGGTTTGGACGGTTCAGGCCAGAGCACCTTTTCCCACATGTGTGTTGCGTCTTCTAAATTTGCAAAAAATGTCTTCTAAACATGGAAGTGAAATGTGCACAAACGTGCACACGCACAAAAAAAGAAAATTAATTATTATATAGTTGAATGAAAGCAAGATTTTCTAATTCTTTCAGTATATTTTCCACGATCACAGTTAGGGACGGATCCCAACACAACAATTTAGGAATAAATGCATATGATTGTATTAAAGTTACATGTGTAAAAATTAAGTTTTCATAGACAACATCTTTCCCAGATTAATCCTTCAACATGGTAAAAGCCACAACTCACATCACTGATCTTTGTACAATGACGTTCTTTAATTAAATCAAACCAACAGCTATGTTGTTCTTTATTTTTATTTTAGCTAGTTATAGCCTCTACTTCAGGCATTTTTCATTTCACTAACAGTAAAGATTGTAGCTGTGCTTCATCCGATTTCCAGGATTCTAAAACCTGCACAATTAGACCTGTGATTTATTGTTTCCATAAATGCTCCCCGCGGAGCGTTGCTCAGGGGATACTTCCCTCTTTTATTCTGTTCTCGGATTTCCGCAAGATTGGATGTTAGAAAAAAAAAAAAAACCTCCTGATTTGGCTTTGAAGAAATAGAGCCGGTAAGTATACAAAGGGCATCATCTTAAAAGGATGTGCAGTTCAAGCAAAGAAGGTCTATTGTGGTCTTAAACTGACCTTCAGAGACAGTTTTCTGTCTTTCTGTTTGCAGTATGCAAAACAACCTGTGATTCCCAAGAGACAATAAGGCTTTAAAGTCATACACTGACCGGCACAATCTTGAATAGACATGTTCATTCAAGAAGAGAAATAATAAAAAAAAGTGGGTTGTTTTTTTAAGACTTGTCCAAACCAACAAAGATGCACACACGCAAAGCTTGAGATTGTTATTATTATCATGCTTACACCAGCACCTTAGATGTTTTGTATAAACCAGCCGCAATGTTTTCTCTAAAAGCCAAATTTCTCCGGATCGTTAACCATGCATGTAAAAAAAAACCCGCGAATGATGTAAAACAACCCTCATAAGCAAACAACAAAAAACAAAACAAGTGGATTTCATTTAATCTGCAAACCATCTGACCAACTGTTTGCGTCCTATGCTTGACAAAGGAATGCTCCAACAAGTTCACTTCAGTTGCAAGTGTCTGTTTCCTCAAAGCATTCCATGATGGCTTTTTTGTTATTTCATTTGTAGCTTCATCAGTTCACTGCTGTTGAAACTAAAATTTCAAGATCTGCATATGTGAGGTTCTCACGTAATGCAAAACCGGTCTACAGGCAAACAACATGTATGTACATGTTTAAATACTGACCACACACACTCAAAGAAATAACTCTTTGGATTAACATTAAAAAACAATCTGGAAAGATTTTCCACCTGATTACTTTGCTTTATTTCAGCACTATGTAATTCTGTTACTCCAATTTAAAGTAAATGTGTTGGCTCAACTTAACTTTTGAGGTTGATTCACTATTATTGAGTGTTGATTCAGAACACTCAACAATTAGAAAAGGTACAACAGAACTGTATTTTCAACATTGTTATCCATTTTCTTTTACATGTGCAGTGCAGGC